CTATGCTCCCTAAATCCTCACCATGGTGCCTGTGTGCTTACCCCAGGCACAGGGCACACCGTGCATCTGAGTTAAGAGATGCTTAAGAAGATGTCTTTGACAGTGCCTTTGAGAATTTGTTATGAGATATGTCCCTCTGCTGATAGTATCCAGGAGGGATAGATATCTCTTTCATTCATTAGATATGTCTCAAAGAAGAAGTCCAGATGTTAGACTGGCCTCATTCTCCATTTTAAAATCCCCACTGGGATCTTGCTTACGTGGACAAACACATTGGTCATACCTTCCTCTCAGATTTTGAAATTTTGAATATGCAGTGTCAGTCACAAGACTCAGAAGTTTGTTTTTCTTGTAGTATGGTGCTTTTTGTTGTAAGGATATTGTGATGAAAAGGGACCAGCTAAAGGAACTACTGGTCTGTAGCTATACATGTTCCACTTGCATTTCAATGACTCTTAGTTCTAAAGGTCTCAACCCCGATATTAAGATATTACTTAATGAGTCTTCTAAACGTGTTGTGTTACTAGAACCTTCTGGCACCACAGATGGATGGAGAACTGTCCTGACAGCACCCAGTCTGCATGTGGATATCCTCAAGTCAGTCAGTCTTGAAAAGGAGCCGTCACTCCTTCCTGAACAATTTGCATATCCTTTTGCTTGCCAAATTATAAAAAAAATACATATCTGAGAATGGTAGAAATGTTTAGAATTTATCTAGCTACAAACCTAATTTTAAGATCCTCAGATCTCATAGTGGTTTTTAAAGTTTTTCACTTGACCTTGATTTCACCAGCAGATAAAGAGAGACTGTTGAAATTAGGATAATGAGCCACTGCAGTATGCCATCTGCCCAGCCATTGTGGAGTGTTTTTCTAGGCATTCCAGAAAGATTTTTTGGAGAGAAATTTGAATGAGTGTGGGATTTTATAGAGAAAAAAAGCTAAAGAGAAATGTCAGTTCAGAGGAGAATGTGGTAGTTCACACACATATAATTGGTTAATTTGAAAAATATTGAAGAAGTTAATATTTTTTTTAGTCTATGTCTAGTCCAGAGTTTCTTACCTTGGTTTGGGTACTTCCTGTACTGGTGCTAGGTATTTTCTGCCCTTACAGAGGAGATTAAAGCTTCTAGCTGAAGCTCAGGTAGTAAACCAGCTCAGCATCATGAATTTTTGTAATTTTGAGAAGTCTGACATCAGCTGTCCTTGTGCTGGTTTAGATCTCAGATGGTTGAAAGTATTTTTTATTTTTTATTTCTCTTTATTTTCTCTTTCTCTTTTTTTTTTCCCCCAAAAGAGAATTGAAAAGGTAAGGACAGTTGCTTTAATTATTCATTCTGAGGCCAAAATTCAACTATATTCCATTCACCTGTCTAGCCTGTCTAGTAGGAGCCAGTGACCAATCAGTTCTTTGCACAGATCTTATCTACCAGGTCTTTGGCACTATATCAGCATATCTTTTGTTGATTTTTAGAAGGAGCACTGTGGGAACACTTATTGTTCCTAAAAGAAAGTACTGTGGAGGCCAGTCTTTCCTGTAGAAGTGAGGCAGGTTGGATGGAGCTCTGAGCAACCTGGTCTAGTAGAAGGTGTCCCTGTCCATGGTAGAATGGTTGGAACTAGAGAACTTAAGGGTCCCTTGCAACCCAAACTGTTCTGTTTCTATGACATGAATCTGCTGGTGCTGACCCTGTTATTTAAATGGAAAAAAGGATCTAAGAAAGAGTGGCAATGAGAAATAAGTGGAATGGTAACTGTGCACAGCTGTCAGTGCACACCATGGCAGCCATGCTGATAGGGGTGCTTCACTGTGCCCTGCCTGCAGGAAGCAGGTCTGTCCATCACCAGAAAGAAGCTCTGAGCTCTCAAGGGTCATATGTGCTAGCAAACATTTTCAAACTCTACTCTGCATACAGTATAAAACTGTATGACAACATACCTTGCTGTATTTTCAGCTGAACCATACATCTACAGGAGAAACGAAATCTTGGACCCCCAGAAAGAAGTCCACGAAAGAATTAAAAAGCACCAAAAACTCAACTATATTAGTTGTCAGACATAAGTTCTGTTGCCTTCTTGGAGGCCAGGCATTTGGTAGTGGTTTATCCCAACCAGGTTGGTGCTTCAGTGCATGGCTGGCCACATATTGTACTGCAAATTCCACATAAGGAGTGGGACAAGCAAAGCCTGTTTATTTATCATCTTCCTTTGTCTTTTCTTGGAGAAAAACAAATGTGTGTAACTTGGTGGTGGCCTTTCTGGGTTGCTCTGTGTTAGGACTGGACCATACAGGTAGATAGCTGGGGGAGTCAGGGGTCTGGCATGGTGCTTGCAAAAGGGACAAGGTTTTCTAAAGACATTAGAATTATACTCACATGAGTAATTAGAACTTGAGAAATATTTATATGACACCTCTTACACTAAACAGTATATTAAATTGGGAAAGGAGGATTTGGTGCCTTTAGTTATGCTGATAAGTTCTTCCACTGAAATTTTTGCTACATTCTTTGTTTTCTCTACTTTTTCTTGCAGTTGCATGTTTATGTTTAAAAATAGTCACTGTAATATATTTGGTCCCTCTCAACTGTGTTAAGTGTTGGGTTGATTAGGAAGTTTCTCTGAAATGTGTTGCTAAAGGTCACTATCTTGGACTGATAAAGTGCTGCTGGCGATTTATTACCAGAACAGTTCATCCACTTGAAACAGTGCAATTAATATATGGTTCTGCCTTGGGCTATTCATCCTGCAGCTACAAAATCCAGTGCTGCCTGTGGAAGGATTTTCTCTCCTGTTGGTGGAGACATGAGTCCTCACAGAGGGTTGTCCACAGTGGTGCATAATCCCAGGAATATTGTGCTGACATGTTGAAGAACTTTCGTAGTACTTGGTCTGACCCCACATTACTCTATAAGCCTTATCCATTAACAGTGTTGTCAGTGCACACTCCTTTTGCAGGTGCTAAATGGCATTGTTGGTGTTTTGTTCCATAGCATGAATGTTGAAACCAGTCATGCACTGAAAAGCTCTGCAGAACGTTAATCTGTTTGAGTTTTGTGTGTATATCTTCTTTAGTCATTTCTGTCCTGGGTCCTGGTACAAGTTCAGTGAAGTCCATGTAGTGTGTCCCTTCCTGGTGATTTCACAGTTTAATGGATACTCTCTCAGGAAATCTTTGAGACCTGAAGCAGTATGTTTATTGTGGAACCGGAGGATTGTGGCAACCCACTGTACAAGAGCTACTCCACTATTAATACTTCCACTTTTGTTACTATGACCTCTTTCTAACACTTAGAAGATGCAATAGGCTATACATTTTTAGCATAGTATACACTGTATAGTGTACAATAACTATTTGTTAGTCATATGCTGACAGTCATATCATAAATGTGTCTATTTGAATTACTAGTATTGGAGTAAACCACATGTATGTGAGTTTTTATGTCTGTATACTTGTATCAGTAAAAAAATAAAACTGTATACTTGTTGGTATGGGAAGTAGTGAACTTTCTGGTGCGTGTCCTTATGTGTTGTCTGTGTTCTGGAGTTCTCTTAAAAACCATTGTGCTGGTGAGTCTTCCTCAGCTTGGCATTTCTGCCCTTCTGCTGACTGTCACCAGCCTCACAGCAGAGGGGAAAACTGCTTCTTCCCTCACTCCATCACTGCCTTTTTGCACATAAAAAGATGTGTAGAAAGGCTGCATTCTGCAGCAGAGCTGTTTTCCTCCCAAGTGAATATACTGACTTATTTTTACAACTATTTTTAGCGGGTGACGCAAAATACAAATGTTTGGATTTTTTTTTTCTGTGTGTATTTTAATATCTTGTTTAAATCCTCAAAAAGGAGCTAATAATTTTGGAGAGAAAAAGAAGGTATTGCATATGAAATGAAAGATATATTGATTGACTGGCAAGGAGTACGATACTGCTATAGTTTAAAAAAGCATTGTCTAAAATAAGTGCTTTAGGAAAGGGGAAGAGGGCTAAGAAAAAAAGAAAGCAAAATTTATACTTTTTCTGTAGTTTTGTGCCACCAGTTGAACACTATGGTTCTCCCATTAATACAATGATCACTTCAAATAGATGGTCCCGTGCAGGGCTAAGGGTTGGACTTCATGATCTTCATTGATCCTTCCAACTCAGCTTCCTAGTAGACCTATAAAAATTAAATAGTAGGTCATTAGTCGTCATTAGTTTGGAATATATCCTGTCACCTCTCCCAGCAGGCAGGTGTGGAAGGTTTTTTAAGCACACAAATATTTTGCTCTTTGACCTTAACTCTGAATATGGAAAAACAGATCATCACTGTAGATTCCATATTTTGATGTCAAAATCAACTAGCAGCTGCCCTGAAATAACACTAACATTTACGTGTTAATGTTTTCTCTCCAGTACTTGCAAAGTAGCTGACACCGATTCCATGCCCTACCAAAGCTGTGTCATAAAAATAGTGGTGGGTTTTTTTCTTTACAGTATTTTCTCTCTTCTTCATTTGAAAATAGTGAAAAACAAAACAAAATGATTGTTTATCTGTAGCAAGAACTTAAAATGCAGAATTTCATGTTGTCCTTCATAAGTGAATTAAAAATTGCATTTAGACATTTGGCCCTGTTTACATTTATACATTGATCCACAGCATGGATGCAATTTATCTTGTACCTCAGATGCTGTCGTATGTGAGCTTGTGTTCTGAGATTTCCCAAATGACTTTTTAATTAGTTGTTGTTATTACACAGCTCATAGATTTTTTTTTCCAGTGCACAACCACGTTGATTTCATCACTTATCTCATCTTTCACATGAAATAATCCTGATTGCTGTTGTGGCTGCCTTGCACTTCTTACCCTCACTTCTGCTGACATGGACCAACCTTAGTGTGTGTTTTCCATAACCATCAACATCACAGCAACACGGACCTGTATGCGGCTTCAGTGTTACTGTTATGTTGTGTTCTGTTTTTTTTTAAGACCTTTTTTCATATTTTGTTTTCTTGTCTTTTTTTCAGAACCCCCTGGAACATTACATTCCCCTGTTAAGAGCTTGGACAAGAGTCTGGCATTCCGCTTTTGCAGGTACCTTTTTGAATTAAAATGGGCACTTTTTCCCAGGGGTTGATAAAAGGAGGGCAAATCCAGAAGGACTTTACCATGTCTTCTTCTGCTGTCTGGGGAGCTGCAAATATATAGCTCAGTACTGTTTCAGAAGGATTGAAGCTTGCTCTTGCTGGCCTCAGTCACACGGCAACTTATGTGTCAATGTTGCAGAATCCTTTTTGGAAGTACTTCAGTAGTTCCAGGCTTTTTCTCACCCTCTGTTCCCAACCTGTACTTTAGTTACAGCCATACCATTCAGTAGGTTGTGTTAGGTTTTTACAATGGAAACCTCCAGTGTAAGTGAACACTTCTAGCCTTAGTCCTCCAGAGCTGTTATTTATTCTTGTTATTTATCTGAATCCTTTTTGGAAGTATTCCAGTAGTTCCAGGCTTTTTCTCATCCCATATTCCCAACCTGTAATTTGGTTACAATTTTTCATTCAGTAGATTGCATTAGCTTTTTGTATAGGAGACCTTCACTGCAAGCGAGCACTTGTAGCCTTAGTGCTTCAGAACTTTTTGTTATTTATTTGGTTATTGCTACTACATTCAAAACATGGAATCCCAGAGAATCACAGAATGGGTAAGGTTGGAAGGAACCACGATGGGCCTTTAGAGAATCTGTGCTGACTAGTCCTGATGACCTTCTTGTCATCCCTGTGGATAGAGATGGCCTCCAGAATGAGGCACTTCATCACCTTTCCAGGGATGAAGGTGAGGCTGACTGGCTTCCTCTCTCCTGGCCTTTTTGAAGGCTGGATTGCTTTCTTCCGGTCCTCAGGTAGAAGTCCATCCAGAACATGCTGAGCTTGATCTCAAAGTCTGAGCAGGAGATGAGCATTACAGCTTAAAATCTTATTCATCGCTAAAGCTCCTAAAGAAAAGGGGGAAATCCAGTATCTCATCCAGTGGAAAGAGTAGCTTCATTCTTGGTAAATACAAGGAAACCAGCTGAAACCCGGAAGGGCAGGAGGTGATGCCAGCTGTACATGTAGCACATTGTGCCAATGGTTGTACAATTCTTGAAAGACCAATAGGACACTTCTAATATTTCACTGTAGCAAAGAGAAAAATCAGTAATCAATGTCTTATGTGTCATGTGTCAAATCAGCAACACACTTCACTAATATTTAGTTTTAATTCCACTCAGTAGAAAGCATTTCATGTTCATCTGTTTCCAATCACCATATTTGGCTCGAGAACATAAATTTGCATCGTGTGGGGTCTTAAATTAATAATTATCACTGCTGTTTTATTTAAAGGCAAAAATAAGTCTGAGAGTACACATGGCTAATTTAAGGGTAAAAATCTGTACCCAGAATGTAGAAATCATCTCAGAAGCCATTTCTGTCAACTGAGAAAATTAGGAACTTGAAATTCCAGATATGTTGTAGTGCAAAATTAAAAGCAGCAAAACCATTTTAGCTGTGCCAAGGGCTGACACGAGGAACATTCAAAGCCTGGTAAGCGATTTGTGTTAGGTTTTGTGATCACAAGTTAACCTATACTAATTTTATAGTCACATTTCATATTTTTACCTTCCTGATGCCATTCTGTATAGGATTTATTTCTGCCATCCTAGAAATGGGATTCAGTGTTTTGCATTCATACAGATGCTGCAGGAGGTCTGTAGTTTTGTTGGAAATATATTGCTCAGTTTGCCAACAGAAAAGATTGGATTTGTGATTTATGACAAAAGCAGCATTCGGTCCTGGCTGCAGTGACACAGCCCTTAAAGCTTTTAAAGAATGTCTCGGAACCAGTCCAGATCAGTGATGAGCTGGTGCTAGTGAGTGAGGGACATCTTCAGTGGAGGGACGTGGTTCCCCAGCAGTGATGGGGATAGTGTGCTGGCAGGGCAGCTGGACAGGAGAGGTTGCCTTTATGCAGCAGGTATGAGCAGATGAAAAAACAGAGATCAGGTGTCCTCACTTGAGGCTTGGCACCTTGGTTGCTGCATCATATTATTTTTATGGCTTAGGCAGCTTAGCCCTGAGATGAGATACTCTAGTTCAGTTAACTACTTAAAAAGTTTGCTGATACTCATCTCTCAAGAAGTTAAAGCAGTAGCTATAAGTTTGGGATATCTCTATCCAATTTCTAGGTTTGGAATAAATTTCCTTTGTTACTTTGGGCAGTCCTACTCAGTCGTGTGTTTAATTTTCAGTTTGGAGATTTATCTTCATTTACAAAGAGGGGAGATCTGTTAATGTGGCTGTGTATCACAAATCTTAGAAGAGAATGGATATATAGCAATGATGGAGTAGTCTGATACTAGAAGGGAGGGTAGGAATGGAGGAATAGTTAAAACAGTTTTTCTAAGCAGTAGTCTATGGCACTTGTGAGAACACGGTCAAGAGCATCTCTAGTTCAGGACTCCCCAGGGACAAGCCAATTGTGTATCTCATCATGCAATCAGCACATAAAGGGAGCTGAAGCATTGCCAAAAAGAACTGGATTTACTGAGTTTGCTGGATTTACTCCACTATTCATTTTCTTCTTGAAAGTGCACAGGGCTCTGAGGTGGGTATTCTTCTGTGATCTCCTCCTGCCAACCACCCCACTACCAGCTCCTTCGCCACCAGCCTTCTAGGCTCAGTGTGCAGCCTGCCCCAGGCACGGGGGCTGCAGCAGAGAGATGTATCTCTTTGCTGCAACGCTAAAGTGGTCTGGGTTAGCAAGAGCTTTGCTTCAGGAGGATCTTCATGCCAGCTTTGTTCCTCCTGCAGGTGATATGAGCTGTGAGAGAGGAGAGGAGGAAGAGCCCTTGAGGTGTCTCTTCCACTTTCCTATAATCACCCTCTGTCCTTGTAATCTACTCCTGCTTCCCAACCTACTGTTTGGTGCTCCTTTCTCTATTCCCAACACCTTTTCCTCTCTGATCTTTCCCTGGTGATTGCATTTCTCCTCTACCTCTTCATGTCTTGCCATTTCTTGGTCTTCTTGTGTCTGTCCACACACTCTAAATTCCAGTCTTAGGGGTTTTTAGTTTGTTTGTTTGTTTGTTTGTTTTCTTGGCACTGGGATGCCTTAACTCTCACTGCCTTCCTCTCTTCATTTAATTAAATACACTGGTCATGACTTGATACAGCTTTTGTTTTCTTTAAGATAATGAGGGTTTTGTGGTTTCTTAAAATTTGTGGTCAGGAAGAATTTCCATCATAACTTCATCAGACCCCTCAGATATGCAAAAACTATCCAAGAGTCTGATTTCTTAAATGCAACTTTCTAAGAACATTGTTTTAGTGAAGAGTCGTTAATTTAAACAGTAATACAGAAACACACTCCGAGTGTCAAACTTGGATATTAAACAGAAGTTTGGATGCCCATTAACAAGTAGCTAACTGAATGTTCATCTTCAGTTAAATAGGTTGCAAACAGTTTGTGAAGATCTGTAGTTTTTACATGTGGGCTCTGTGGGCACATATTTCCCATATGGAAATCAAGAAGGAAATATAGTCAGTGTATTCTAACATCTCTGCCTCAACAACTGTAGTAAATACTGGTAGTCTGAGGTGTTACACACGCAGGCGTGTGATCATGCTGTGCCCATGCAGTGTAGCACTTGCGTTGAGTTATACAGCTATATCATTGATTGCAACGTCATAATAACATAGAAGACCTAAATTGCATTGTGTTTCAGAGCCAAAATTGGTATTTTTAACCATCAGCTTGAAGTAGTATTAAATATACAGACGTGTCTTCGAGATGTAGTGCTTTGCAGTCCCTCAGTTTTCTTTCTTGACTTCTAACACCATGTATCTTTAGACTTGAGGCTGGAGGAAAGGGGAATTAACTATTCTGTGCTATGGGAAAATGTCATCTTCTCTAGAGAAAAATATAGCTGTACCAGTCAAAAATAAGAGAGCGTTCATGGAGTTGTCATGAAGGTTGCAGTGCCCTGGAACACTGCTGTAAGTCATGTGTGGTTTGTTTTTGTTGGATTTTTTCCCAATTATTAGTTTTAAAAGACTTGATTTGTTTTTACATAGGCAAAATTTTTATAGCACACTTATTTAAGAAAAAAAAGTGCAATATTTCATATGTGTAAAGTTTCAATGCTTAGAAATGGTTAACTCAGGGCAATTAGATTGTAGAAATTACTTTAAAACACCCGTGCTGACCTTACTGCAGTAATAGCTCATGTTACAAAAAAGGCTTTTTAATACAAAGAGCTTTGGCAAAAAAGATCCCACAGCTAATCAGAAAAGCAGCTCAAAGTCTGCAGTTGTCAGAATTAGGCCACTCTATTGTACTGCCCTGGCTGAACATTATCATTTTTCTAAAGGTACTGGTTTTACCATACTCATTTTTCAATTGTGTCTACTGTACTACCTATTAAAGGTGGCCTTGTAGGTTCTTAATATCAGTAAGAGACATTAATTGGCTATATTTTAATATTTATTTCTAAAGATGAAACAGTTTTGCTGCTGTATAGAGTTTATTAAAAAGAAGTTTCCGTGTAACAAGATAAGCTGTTAGGAGAGAAAATATTTAAATATCTATAATCTAGATGGCTTTCTGGTTTCTTGCTTGTAAAATTTTGGCAAGTAATATAAGAAAAATTCCATATACTTGGGCACTATTCCTTTCAAATATGTTTTCAGAACATGTAAGAAACTTCAGAAAGGTGCTATTAAGCTTTGTTTTGAAACTATGAAAATAAGTATTTTCAAAAGATTCTCTTTCTAATTAAATTTCTAAAGGAAAGGAAAATTGAAGTATGATTTTTTTTTTCCATTTATAATAGCTCTTTATGGTTGCTGGTTTTTTCACTGCATAAATTGTTGGAATTGTTTCTCTTTTCTGGACTGTGTGTGTTTACTTTGGGTCTTCATTTATTTGAACATTTCTGGAGTTTTGCAGGGTTAGTAACTGCAAGTGAATGTCTAACTGCTGTTTTCTTTGTGGGTTTATGGTTATTTCTCAGACAAAATCTGTTCCTAGCTATGATACTATGTTCCTTTAATGTATTCCTC